GGAGAAGATATTCTTTGTGCAGATTCCATAAGGGCTGTGCAGAAATGTATATGGTCAAAGCCAAGCAGTTCCATTTACAGCACTGTTTTTTTTTTTTAATGTAGTTTAAACATGATGTGATTGTAGCTTTTTAAATTATGAAACCCCTGAGAGATTGTACCTTCTAGTCGAAATAAAGTATTTATAATAGATTGTGGCTTCAGATGCTGTTTGCTGCTTCTTAGACCTTTAAGAAGTATTCTTAATGAACTTTATAGAATTCTGAGAACTGTTTTTTGTTTGTTTTTCAAGTTTTAAACTGCTTCATTATCTATAAGAGGTCTAGGTATAGCTTTAGCATTTCAAACGCTTTCTGAAAGAAATGGACAGTTTCCTTGGCCACTGAAGATGTTTCTCACGTAATCAAACAACAGTTTATACATCTTGATCCTATTCTTTTTTTAACTGTATGTTTCTTTGGAGTTAAAATGGCTATGATAGCCTCATCAAAAACAGTCTTCAATCCCTTCTGGGTTAAAGCTGAACATTCCACATAGCAGCATGCTCCTATCTGTGAGGGAGAGAAAAAACCAATATATAAGATATTTTTACACAATTGATAAGACACAGCACATTATAAGGAAAATTATAAAACACAGCTAAGAAAACAGGACGAACTATCCACATTAATAATACCCAGAGATAGCCAATTGTTAAAATGCTAGCGTATGTCCTGGACTTTATTAAAACTCTTTCATTCATCAAATATTAATTGGATGCCTATTATACATCAAACACTGTATAGGTGCTGGGGATATGCCAATGAACTGAGCCAAAGAGCCAAGGCGCCCTACTGTGTGCTGGCCACATTTGCTTACATTCCCACGGGAGAGGCAAAGGAGGGACTACAAAGCAGCTGGTAAATGCTAGGGAGAAAAAGTACAGTGACAAGAGACAGGAAGATTGTGGTGGTGAGAGAAGTCTTTTCAACATGTCAAATTTGAGAAGTGAAAGATTTTAAGGGAAGGACTCCAGACTGATGGGGCAATAGATACAAAGACATGTAGGAAATGCTTGGAGCACTTCAGGTACAGTAGAGAAGTCGGGGCAGGAGAGGGTGAGCATCAGAATGAATGATGAGGTCAGTGAGGTAGTCTAGAAACAGGAATCATCAGCTTCTGTTCTGAAATACAGCCTATTCATTCACTGAAGAGTTACTGCACATTCTTTTTTTTTTCATTTTTCTTTTATTATTCGTATGTGCATACAAGGATTGGTTCATTTCTCCCCACTGCCCCCACGCCCTCCCTTACCACCCACTCTGCCCCCTCCCTCTCCTCCCCCCAATACCCAGCAGAAACTATTTTGCCCTTATTTCTAATTTTGTTGTAGAGAGAGTATAAGCAATAATAGGAAGGAACAAGAGTTTTTGCTGATTGAGATAAGGATAGCTATACAGGGCATTGACTCACATTGACTGCACATTCTTTATTTGCCAAATGTATGAAACAACAGAGAACAAAATTAAGTCTCTATCCTACTCTCACAGAGCTTATTGCATTTTAGAGGGAGGAGACCTACCCTGAACCAGTAAGTATTGCAGTAGAACATCAGAAAGTATTATGCAGTCTGAAGAAAAATGGGGTGGGAGATAAGGAAGTGGACAGATTAGGCAGGGTCACACTAAGAAATTGACATTTGAGCTGAGACCTGAAAATAGTGAAAAAATGAATAATGTTTACACAGGGAAGAATACTCTAGCAGAGGGAGTAGCAAAAGTACAAAGGCCCTGAGGCAGAACTTTGGGGGTTTAGTAAGGAGTTCGTGAGCTGGAGAACAATGAATAAGGCAGGGAGGGAGCAGGGCCTGTGAGCCACAGGAAGGGCTTTTGGTGTGTTAGATACCCACAGGCCTAGCAGTGATCTGACCTACCAAGTTTATGTTTTAAAACTCACTCTGGCTGCTGTGTTGAGAACAGATTATCATGGGACAGAGACAGAAGCATAGGTAAATTAGAAATTAATCCAGTAATCCAGGCCAGAGATAAGGAGGAAATAGAAGTGTTTGGATTCTGGATCAGTTCTGAAGATACAGTAATACATTTTGCTAAAAGACTAGACTATGGTATGAGAGAGAGAGCAAGGTCAAGCATGAGTTCAAGGTTTTCAACCTGAATAACTGGGAGCAGACCAGCTAAGAGGGTAGAATTAGAAATTCTGTTTCGGACATGTTAATTTTGAAATACTTGGCAACCCAGATAGATTTGTTGAGTGAAGAGCTAAATAGTTCTAGAGTTTAGGGAGGCTGGATAGAGAAATTTGGGAATCTTCAGTAGCCTGTTCAAGCTATAAAACTGAGAGCAGCTCTTTAGGCTCTACGACTAGGGGGAGGAAGAGCTGGCTGAGAGGCCAAGAGGGGAGAGGAAACAAGAAGGGGGCACTCGAGCCAAGTGAGGAAGGTGTTTCCAGAAGGCTGGGAACTTAGTTCAGTGGCAGAGTTCTTGCTTAGCATGTGTGAGGTCCTGTGTTTGATACCCAGCACTGAAAAAAAAAAAAGAACCTACTGTGCCAAGTGCTGCTGACAGTCTAGAAATGGGATATTTTTTTGCAACTACTTTCCCTCTTAGCTGCATAATAAATATGAACATTCCATAGATACTTTAGTATGAATCTTTAATAGATGCAGGTTTTTTTAAATCATGAACAATGCAGCATCTTTGTAGTCATAGCACATTCACAATAACAGTTTAAACTGACAAATAATAGTTGTATGTATTTATAGGGTATAAAATGAAGTGACAGTTGTATAGTATGGAGGGGTTAAATAAACTAATGAGCACATCCATCACCTCACTGTTGGTAGTGAGAACATTTGAAACTTACTCTCAGCAATCCTACAAATAGAATACAGGATTATTAACTATAGTCACTGTGCTATACAAGTATTATCTCAAAAGCATTCCTCCTGTCTAACTGAAGCTGTACTCTTTGACCAACATCCTAACAATGTTCTTAGGATAAGTTGCTATATAAGGAATTGTGTGATCAAAACTGTGCATGATTTTAAGGCTTCTGCATCTTACCAAGATTGTTCTTATTCTACCACCACCAATATAACAGAGGGCCTATTTACCTGCACCCTTGGGACAGTGGGTGGAATTCATTTTTCATTTTTGCCAACTTTGTAGAAATTGAACTTACATCTGACACTAAATGAGTTTGAACATTCCTATCTTCAATTCCATCTGTATATTTTGGGGGCAAACTTCCTATTGATGTCCTAGCCCAGATACCATTTTCTTTTAGGATCTATGTCTTTTTCTGATTAACTCATTTTATATACTAACGGGTTCCTGGACACTAAGAATATTAACCCATTTTTCTGCCACAAATGTCAAGTTTTTATTTCTGGCATTTGATGTGTTATTAAATTTTTGTATAGTTAAATCATCAGTATCTTCATTTATGGCTTTTACCTTTATGATATTTAGAAATTCCTTTTCTCTCCAAGATTACAAAATTAAATACAAGGAATTACTAAAGTGATTGTTAGTGAAACCATTTATCTTTTGCTTTGGGGAAAACTGTCCTCTAGTTTTCTTGCTTTCTTCTGCCTCCTTATTGTACATTTAAAAAGACCTTATTAGCTTCTGCTTCCACAAAAGTCCTATTAAAGTCACAATATTTAAAAAAACAAAATCCAATAATGTCAAGGCCAAATGGAGAAAAAAAGTAAACCTAGCTTTGGTATAAGAAAGAATAAGAATATAAATTAAAAGGTATATTTGCATCAGTTACATATATATATATAAATAACATATGTATCAATCATATATACTAATATATATTGTACCTAGCCATAATTTTCTGTTTTGAGCCATAGATTTAAATTGTCATCCTGTGTCACTCCATCCCTAACTCCATGAGTCTTAACTGATAACAGAGCCTAACTGGCACAGTATAAATGTTAAATGAATTAAGAAGGGCTTAAAGTCTCAGCACCTACTTCTGATGCTTCGTCCTATGCATGAGTTGTAATGAACACACATTTGCAGTATGTCACAGGCAGAAGAGTCTGGGAACTGGAGTCAGGCTTTATACTGCAACCTAAGTCGCCACCTACTACTGCAGGACCTTGGGCTACTTCCCTGATATCTCCCACCTAGCATTTTCTCTTCAACTGGGAGAATCGTCAGAGCTGCCTCACTGAGTGCATGCAAGGATTAAATGAGATAATCCATGCAATGCACTGGCACAGTACCTGGCATATACAGTGTTAGCTTCTACTACTATTTTCACATTTATTTTTAAATTCTGAAAATGTTTCATTACCTCTTTTGCTAGTTTCTGTCCTTGTTCCACACATATAGGTTTTTCTTTCATATCATTCAGTCTTGCTAACGTTTTGGGGTCATCTCGGAGATCAATCTAATTAAGAAAGGTCAATAATATCCCATAATATTACAAGTCTTTAAAGAGAAATCAAAGCATGTAGTCCCATTTAATCCCCACATACCAAAAACAAACAAAAGAACTTAATTTTTTAAAGTTACTAGTATAATTGCTTTCCTTGGTACCATTTTTTCCAAAAATGTGAGAGAATTTAACTTGAAGCTGAGATTAAACACATATCATTTGCTAACCATGGGATCATTTGTCTGAGAGCAACCCCTCCCCTGCAAACACTGGCTGTACAATGTATTCATAAATAAGTAAAATCAAAGCAGACATACCTGAGTTCCTATTAATAAAAAGGGTACATTTGGTGCATATTCCTTAAGTTCTGGTACCCATTCCTCTTTCACATTTTGAAATGAGGCTGGGTTTACCACGGAGAAGCATATGAGGAAGACATCAGTCATTGGATAAGATAAAGGTCTCAGACGATCATAGTCTTCCTAAGGAAAAAAGAAAAAAAACCTCATTAGTTCCATTAACACATCTACAGTTTACTAATAATATGCACATTTGATTATGAACATGGTCTAACACCTCTAATTTAGTAAATTTGGGAGTGTCCCACCAATGGAAAGTATGGCACTTAAACAAGGTAATTCCACTTGTTCTGATATGCTACGAAGTATCACCAGTGGGGTAAAAATTTGCAAGTATAGTTAACAAATTCAATGAAAAATAAGAAAATAGCAGGGTGGGGTGATGTACACATGTAATCCCAGCACTTGGGAGGTTGAGCCAGGGAGACGGAAAGTTCAAGGCTAGCCTGGGCTACATAGCAAGAACCTGTCTCGAAAACAAAGACAAACAAAACCAAAAAACAAACAAAACACACTGCCACCAACAAAAAAACCCAAAGAAAATGCATTGTGACTACCATAGCCATCACTGGGATCATTTTTAACTGAAAAGTCTGCACAAAGATTTGAGAAAAGCTCAAGGCTAAGAATTATGATTTATAATAACATACCGAACATTTATTTGCATGTATCAAGTACTGATCAATATGCTCTGTCATGAATTACTTAATCCTTGCAGTACTTCACCCTGGTCCCTGTTTTCCTTTTGAGTAAATTAAGGCACAGAAGCAAATCACTTGTATAAGGACATTCAGCCATAAGTAAAGGAGCCAGGATTCAAACCTCAGTAGATTTGACTCCAGAGCATATGCTCTTAACTACACACCTTCACTGAGACCCTCAATTTTGACTTTCCCTGTTTCTATAGTTTTCCTTGTCCATGTGTGTGTGTGTGTGTGTGTGTGTGTGTGTGTGTGTGTGACTATTTAAAGATAAAAAGATAAGAGTGAATCAACAACCCCCCTTCCTTCTCCAAATTCCATTTCTTTTCCCAAACGTTTTCATGTGTATCCTTCCAGTTCTTTTTCTCTGTACGTATGCACTTTCAGCTGTACACAGTCATACATCCAGGCAGAGATGAGGTCACACAATGCATGCCGCTCTGCACTGTCCTTGTCCAGTGTGTCTTGGAGATCTCGCCATATCAGAATGCATTACTACCACAATGCTTAAGCGATGTTCTGGCTGTCTATCCTCCTAGGGGTGTTTTAGTCTCTACCACAAAAGACAGGGGATGTTTTGTTTTACACGAACTATTTTATACGACACAAAATTCTGCATATTTAGTTCCAGTGAGGGAACAAAGTCAGGACTCCATTTCTGTCATGGTTAGCCTCTCATCCAGTTTCAATGAAACTGTTTTGTCCTAGGCCATCTTCCCTCTTAAATGACCCACTTCACTGCACAAATGTGGAATTAAGAGAATATTTAAAAACATCTTCTGCTCAGTTTCAGCAGCACTAATTTCCCTTGTGCACCAATTTTCCTTTCATGTCATCGTCTGACAGTTTTAAAGTATAACCTTCCAGTGAAGTATGTATTTGTCTCTCATTATTTATAGGGGACTGGTTCCAGAATTCTCAATGATACCAAAACCTGCAGATGCTAAGTCCCCTATGTAAAATGCTGTGATATTCACTTACAACCACCACACATTCTCCTGCATACTTTAAATCACCTCCAGATTACTTATAATACCTAAGACAATGTAAGTGCTATGCAGATAGTTGTTATAATATATTGCTTAGGGAATAACGACAGGAAAAAGGTCTGTACATGTTCAATACACTTTCCCCAAATAATTTCAATGCACAGTTGGCTCAATCTGCAAACATGGAACCTATAAACAGTAGCCCTCTGTATTAATGTCTCAAACTGTTGACTCTGGAGGTTAACACTTCTGTTTTACTATTTTTGGGGGGCATATACACAGGAGTGATGGGCAGTGAAGGATTTCTCTAGTGATAGCTATCACAGGACAAAGGGGAAATGCCATCCCCAATCTTTTGTAGTCTTTATTTTTAGAAGATGTGGCCTCTAATTGCTTTTGACTAAAGCTGTGCCCAGGGTTTAGAAATTAGTAGTGAGAAAATCAAGCAGATTGGGTATAAAACATGTTACACTCACCCAGTTACTACAAAAGGACTACTATCAAAAATGTAACATGAACAAGTAACCCAATCAATAAATGGGCAAGTGCTCTGAACAGACACTTCTCAGAAGAAGTACAAATGGCCCATAAACATTTTTTTTTAAATGCTTGGTTTTAGCCATAAGGGAAATGCATCAAGAAAACAAAACACAACAAATGGATGTCAGGGAGGGGGAGGACAGGAACCCTCATACACCTTTGGTAGGAATGTAAATTAGTGTGTAAGTTCCTCAAAAAACTACAAATAGAGCCACCATATGATCCAGCTATACTACTCTTGGGTATAGACCCAAATGAATCCAGGTCAGCATACAAGTATGCGATCAGCCTAGGAGCCCAACAATAGATGAATGGATAAAGAAAATGTGAAATATAAACACAATGGAGTATTATGCAGCCATAAAGAAGTAGGGAATCGTGTCATCTGCAGGAAACTGGGTAGAACTGGAGGTCATCATATTAAGTGAAATAAGCCAGATGGAGAAAGAAAACATGACATGTTTTCTCCCATATGTAGAAGCTAGAACTTAAAAAAAAGAAAAAGACGACCTGAAAGTAGAAGGGTAAGAGGAGGGAGGTGGTAGTGGGATGGTGTTGTTAAGAGACAATACTTGTGATTTGGTGGATACAACCAAAGCACAACATATGGAAATGTCTGACACCTGTTAATAAGTACAGTTAACATGAGTTAATAATTATATGTAAAAAACAAGTTTTAAAAAAAAACAGTTTGATGGGAGACTGAGATCAGGAGGAATTTATGTTTGCAGTTTGAGGCCAGTCTGGGCAAATACTTCATAAGACCCCATCTCAACTAATAACTGGTGGTGCCCACCTGCCAAGCTACACGGGAGGCTGAGATCAGGAGGATCAAGGTTCAAGACCAGCATGAGCAAAAAGTGAGACCCTATCTCCAGGATAACCAGAGCAAAAAGGACTGGAGATATGGCTTAAGCAGTAGAGCACCTGTCTTGCAAGCACAAAGCCCTGAGTTCAAACTCCAGTACTGCCAACAACAACAACAAAAAAAAAACAGAAAACAACCCAGATCAGTCTGAGTGTTCAGTAGTATGATCAGGTACACTGAATATGCTTTCAGCACTTTATGCCTGGTTCAAGGAGAAGCAGTGTTCACGCTTAGCATCCTGCCCAGGAGTCCTGTGCTTCTGAGCACACCTGCGCTTGCCATTGTCTGGGTGTTCTCACTAAAAATCACCCCTCATTCATATTTAGATATCCAATTTTCACAGAAACAGAAATGGGGTAACTGTCTCATAGGATTACGAAAAAGAAATGGAGTAACATAAGCAAAGCACTCAGCACTGCACTTGGCGTGTGAAAGAACTCAACCCATGCTTCAGCCTAAGCATCTTGACTGAGGACACTGCTTCTGCTATTGCTCAGCAGCCCACATAGGGTCCCAGGGGCTTTGTAGCGACCTCCAAACAGAAGAAACTCCTTGACTGAGAAACAGAATTTTCTACACTCCCTTCAAAACACACAGACTGAGGTCTTTTGAGGGCACTGTAATTTTCAGATTAATAAAAAGAGAATGATCTATTATTACTGCATTAATTAGTCATTTTGGAACCCAACAAGCTTAAGACTATTTAAAACATCAAAGAAAAGATTTATGTTTTCTAAGAATGCCAAGTTAGATATTTAATGAAAATTTTACCCCAAGTTTACCTCATCAGGGAAACAGAATTGTTCACTCTTTCTCTAGGGGAATACAAAAAAAATTTAAAGTTGTTAAATTCAAAGTTCTCTAGAAATCTTTAATAATAATATTAACCCAAATATTCCACAGGACAGCAGTCTGTTATGCAGATTCCTTTCATAACCAGACTGCCTCAGGTCAGGCTATCCTAGGTGAGAGACATATGGCCACAATTGAGTGCGATTAGACCAGTCACTTATAGGCATTTGCTAAATTGTAGGTTTTGTTAGAATAATTAAATGTGAAGAAGTGGGGTTATATTTTTTAAAGTATGTTTAGAACTCCTTGGAAAGAAATATTACTTTTTAAGTCTAAACTACCCAAAATGAACTCCTTCCTGTCACCTCTAGCTAAATAATTGACAGTTATTATAAGAATGAGACCTTTCTGCTTTCATCCAGTCTGAATAATTAGAAGGCTAATAATAGATAGCAAATTAAAAAAAATGATCCCTTGTGCACACTGTACCCAGCCTCACATAAAACTGTTTATCCCACTGCCCCTTATCTTGAGTGAACTTAATGTGAAATGTTGGATTTGGAAATAGATAGGTAGAAACTCACAGAATCTTTCCTATTAAGCTTTCTACTTCAACTCTAACAACACGAAGAAACTTAGATGTGGAGCAACTATGCTTACTTTTAAATGAGCACTTATCAAAATCAGCACTTCTCTTAACCAACTCTGCAGTGTCCTCCCAATTAACAACCAATTATACATTTTAGTTCTAATTTAGAAATCAGGCATTTAAACATTTAACTGGAACATTCTCAGGGATACAGAAAAATGTATTAAAGACAATTATCCAATATCAAAACCATTTAAAAAAATGGTGAGTTTGGTCAACAGCATGTTCGGATGGCTTAACAAATTCTTTAGCTTCTTACCAAGTGGTTAAGTCACAAGAGGCATCATTTTTAAAAAGTGTGTTCCGGTAGCTTAGTGATTAGGCTCTCCACTATTATCAAGAATCCTCCATCTGTGATGATGATGCCCATAACCCTTAAAAAATATCACAAACTTCTCACCTGACAAAAATCACAGATAAGAGACAAAAGAAATGTGCTCTGAGAGGAAGCAAAAGATTTTCAGGAGCAAGTAAGAAAGAGCAGAGGCCCATGGGCTAGAGCCCCCTTTCTATGCATGGCTCAGCCAGCAGGGCGTATGAGCTCTCTGCTTCTGCACTTTTGCCCACTTCATGTGGACCTAGGT